CGAAATGTGAAAATATTCTGTTTTCAAGCAAGTTTTTACTCCATGATCAATTTTTATTTTATTTTATTTTTTTGTGAACTCATATTTTCCTAAATACATATCTGTGAAGCTATGGCCAGTGCCACGACTATACTTTGTTAATAGATCACGACTAGTTAATAGACCACGACTATACAGCTACGTCATTGGTCACGGGAGGCGAGAACAAGGTCATATAAAGTGGCAGAAAAAGAACAAAGGATTTGACAAGGAGTAAAGCTACTAGTTTTCTTATACTATGGTTTTGTCAAAGCCACCCAATGATTTTTCTCTCGTATTTTACCGTTGAATGTGCTATATGAAATAACTGGTTACTGGTTATTGGTATCTGCGAAACCATTAAAAACTATGAAATACTTTAAATACTAAAAAATATTCATTTTTCAACTCTCCGTCTAATAAAAAATAATATACAGGGTGTTAAAAAAAAACAAAGAAAAATTATTTTATATTTTAGAAAGTTTCGCCTAGAATTTTGAACATCCTGTATGATTTAAGATTAAGATATTTATAGCAAAGTAAGTATACACCATCTAAAGTAAGTAGCTAATATAGTTTTGATTTCAGGACAGTTATTTATAGACTTTATATCACAGTGGCTGTGGTAATCACTAAATTTGACGTTTAGACTATACAACTTTTTTTGACAGGCAGTTTTTTCCTCCAAAAATTTTAAATATTTTTTTTTCTCAAAAACGTTTAATGCTAGGTGTAGAGTGTTTGATATCAAAATTCATAAAATTTTATAGAGCATTTCAATATATTTATAAAAAAAAGGAAGGTAGCCATTTAAAATAAGAAAGTTGCTAACAACTTCCGGTATTTCCGGAAGTGACGCCATATTAAAAATATTTTTAGTCTATAGATCTCATTGTAAAACAATGATATGTAAAAAATCTCCGATCTAGATATAGTAGTTCACCAGAAACTACAAATGCTCGCTCAGCTTGGGACACCCTGTATTTGGTGTCTATTAACAACTATATTTTAGATATTTTCAAGACAAAACCCTAAAAATGAAACAACCAGTTATAATGATAAATAATTATTTTTGACAGATACGTATGTCATAAGAAAATAGTATTTTTTGTCATTTTGTTATGCGTTTTTTTTTTGTTGTATTTTGAGATTTCTTAAAACTCGCGCTTTTTTGTTTCCTTTTTTTTTGAATAGAATATACGATGTCCCTGAAAACTGAAAATCCCCAAGAAGAGGATCAATATCGATTTCAGCAATACGAGAAAACAAAGTTTTTGCCCAGCCAGTGGAATGAGGATAGGCAAGACAATACCAAAAATATCAAAGTACGTCCCTATATTCTTTTATATACCTACCAATCTTTTACAAAATAACCATATTTTCTATATATTAAAATATGTTTTTCTTTATAATAGTACTAGTTGACGGCTAATTAATTAATCACTGTTTAGCCTTTAAACAAAGTTTATACAAACGGTGCAAGTGGGCGTTAATGTTAGTTCTATTTATTATTTATAAAAAACAAAACGCACATCATAGACAAACAAATAAAAAGAAACTGGCAAATCAAATGGCAAAGAAAGGGACAACGTTCCCGTAGCGCAACTCAGTACGCAAAATTTCGTTCTTGTTGATCTGCGCATTGCGTCTATTGGGCCCACTATCTCATTCTAGTATAACAAGAGAGAAAGAAGCAACCATATAAAACGTAATTTCTAAATAGAAATTAAAACAATCGCCTTTCGTTTTCGTCATCATGACAACCAAGATGACATCATCATGACAATTCGTCATGTTTGTTAATTTTTCTTTTGGTGATTTACCTTTTTTTCTAAACTCTCCATTTTATTGACTTATGAATATGGATAGGGAACAAATTCCTTTGTTCCATATAGGTATTTATATTTTGTTACTTTGCAGGAGCCAGTATCATCTATTTTTTATATGTATTGGTTCCCCCTTTCTCTAATAGATATGTTAAAAACACCCGGTAAAATAAAAGTAAGTAGTTATATTTATCATCTTATTAAGAAAAAAGTAGAAGTAGTAGTGTCAAAAATATTTCGAACCTCTCTTAACATGACAAATTAATACAATTAATTTTTTTCATTTTTTGGGTAGGTAGTTTATAGCTGGTTTATAGTAACCAGAAACTTCATTAATATACCTATTTTACTTTTGTTTTAGGATTAAAACTGGACTTGAAAATGGTTCAGGATCATGATTCTCGTAAAGTCTTCTTTGCTTGGATATTCACTTTGTTATTGCAAATAGGCAATTTTTTCGAAAATGAGATTCTTAATGCCCTTTAAAAAAATTGGCCGATCATTTCCTGCAACAGTCAGTTCTTCTGCATTTAAAATTGGTAGGTGGGAGGAATAAACACTGTTATTTTTTGTTATTAGATTATAAAAAGTTTATTTACATTTATGTATAAATAAATATGTTTATAAAACAGTACAATTTTTGCTTTTTTTATAATTTCCTTTATAATAGTAGTATTCTTTCGTTCTGAAAGAAACTGCAAATTTTCACTTAATTACCGATCGTTTCCTGAAACAGTCAGTTCTTCTGCATTTAAAATTGGTAGGTGGGTGGAATAAACATCGTTATTTTTGTTATTATTATAAAGTTTATTTATTTTTATGTATAAATAAATATGTTTATAAACAGTACAACTTTTGCTTTTATAATTTCTATATTCTGAGAAACTTTCATTTTGGTCTGATTTATTCCCTACACCACGTTCCCTTTACGTGGTATAGGGAATAAATCAGTTTAAGTGAAAATTTTCAGTTTCAGAATGAAAGAATACTAATAATGGCTAATTTAAATTTTTCCGCCAGCCAGAATGTGCGATAATGTCTTTACGATATTTTAGATACCTATCTCTCTTTCATATAAAAACACACATAATAAAGAAAGATAGCAATAAAGACGTACGTCCGCTATGGTCCTGCTAATTGGTTTCAAATTGTTATTCTGAGTTGCGCTACGGAACGCGGTCCCACTCTTTACCAAGATTGTCGTCTTTTTATTTGTTTGTTCATGCAAATAGTTCAATTTAAATATTTTAAATAGTTTTTTTCTTTATTCTTTGTATTTTTTGTTTACGACGACGGAAAGAGATAAACTTTCCGAAACGTTAAGCATTTTTTCTTTTGTTAGGCAAATTTTTATTACTGTAAAAACTTGACAAGCAGTGTCCGTTTAGGTTTAATTTTTTTTTTTTTTTATTACAAAAAATAACTTTATTTTGTAGATTTTCTTGCGCAGTGGGCGAACACCTATAAAGGATTTTTGTCCTTCCTGGTCGTTTATTCAAAGGTGCTGACGTTACTTACCTGTTATTCTAACAGCTGGTTGGTCTAGGTGATAGAAAACTTCACTCTCCATCAGCCTAGCCAAAATTTCAGCTCCTATACCGCACGACGGCCAACCCTGTTCCACTGAGATCAAGTGATTCGTTTTGACAACCGATTTTATAATGGTTTCAAAGTCTAGAGGCCTCAAAGATCTGTAAAAGTCGATAATTTTCTGATGAAAAATAATTTTAACGATTTTTAAGCATTTTTACCTTAAATTGGATTACTTCAGCCTGATACCTTTAATTCGTTTGCAGCTTCTAACGACGTCTCGACAGCCTTAGAATGTGCTACGATAGTTACGTGTTTACCTGTGTCACAAAAAATAACATTAGAAGAATTACAAATTATACTTCTTCAAAATTACCAATACGCTTTTAGAATCTCTAAAATATCGCGTTGTCTATTTAAATATATATTTTTTGTCAAGAACTGGTGACATTTGACAGTGTATGTCATTTTTGCTAATAAGTCTTTAAACTTATAAACAAAAAAAAAACTGTTTTAGTTTTAAAAGAGTGTTATAGCTCAAAAAATTAAAGCTAGGTAGCTGATTGTGTTATAATTAAAAAGTAGTTCAAAAGAACCATTCCTGTCTTACCCGGTCTTTCGACTTTCGCTTTGCCAATGGGTAACAAGTAATCCGTTCCTAGCGCCTCATCAGACATTGGGTAGGCAACACCGTACAATAATTCGTTTTCTAGAAAGACCACAGGATCTGGGTCCCTAATAGCTGCCTTGAGAAGACCTTTGTGTATCTCTGATGTGTAGGGGAGATTACCTTTTTCGAAAATATCTTGAATTACGAATATACAGGGTGTCTCAATATGTCTGTTCTAATAAAATACTTTATTTTGCATAGTAAATTTGAAGATTTTTGTCTTGTTTCGCAAATCTAAAGGCGCATTCTCAATGACTTCATTCTCACAAGTTGGTCTCCGTTGGGTTAATTTGCAGTGTTCAGAAAATAATTATTTTATTTTGTGTAGATTTTTAGAGTGGTGGCGAAATAACCATAGGACTTTTGAAGAAATATATTTATCATTTCATCCCATTTTTATTTGGTTATGCCGGGATCGCACTGCATAGCCCCCATACTAAAAATATATGTTTATAGTGCTGTGCAGTTCTTTAGTTTCCAAAGTGCCAGAATTTTCCAATTTTGGTCGGCGGTTATTTCCCCTATCCGCCACCTGGGGTCGCGTCCCAGGGTCGGGAGTTTGGAGTTCTCGACACGGATTTTCTCAAAACGGACTACGGAAATACGGAATATTTCAAAAACTACGACTTTGACTGATTTTGATGTTATTACAAATTTTGTTGCAAATAATATTCATAATCTTAAATTAAAACCGTTTCGATAGTTACTGTAATTTTGGAGCATGATTTTTAAAATTTTAACTCCCTCCCATACACCGTTACCAACACCCCACCCCCACCAAAAACTATTGGCCAGATTCTCAAGTGCCACAGTATTTTTGTTACAGAAATTTGGTTAAAATCGGTTTAGCGATTTTGAGTTATCGTGTTATTGAAACAAGGATAGAACTCTTGGTTTAACAGGATACCCTTAAAAAATTAGAGTATTTTATTAAAACAGAGAATACTGAGACGATACACATTGTAAAAGTTTTAGAAAAGTGATCTTACTTTGAGACCAGGACAGTGAGCATACCACGCGCCATAACACTGAGAGTGCTGAGCTGCCACACCTGCTGCAGCTCCATTAGGGCCCCTTTTTTATTAAAAAGCATAATTAATATTTTTAAAATCATGATTTTTAAATTTTACCTACCGGAATACAATAGGAACGTTTACTCTACCGGCAGACATGTAAAAAGTTTTTGCCGCCGAATTGATGATTTGATCTATGGCTTGCATGGCGAAATTGAAGGTCATGAACTCGCAGATGGGGCGGAGGCCTGCCATAGCCGCCCCCGTGGCGATACCTACATAAATAAAACAATAATATTTACTACAAGATATTTGTAGGAATTTCCTTTATATTTTTCTTTGTTTCTTGTCTTGTGTTGAATCAAGTACAACGGTGATAACTAAGGTCGTGACTTTAAAACCAATATAATTAATAATAAATCCATACTTTTAATGAACGGAAAACAAGATTATGGTGTTTAAAATAGCCAGAAAAACAAGTTATTTTTAAAAAAAGACATCTTAAATATAATGTCAATACATATACAATTAATAAAATCTTTTTATTTTAATTTCCTTAAAAATACAGAGTCGCTGACATGTATGGGAACAGTCGATTGTTAGGTAAAATATACGAGGTACCGCAAAAAGTTAAATATAAAAGCTTTAGGGTTTTTAAATGTCTATCAGCAAGTAATAAATTTAAGTATACAAGGTCGGTCGTAAAGTCGTGGCACATAAAAGTTTAATTTTTTTAAATGGAACCCCTTGTATATTTCGGTTCTTCCTTCAATTGTAAGCAAAAATCGAAATACACACAATATCACTTAAACAATTTGATTTAATTAATTTCGATATGTTCAGTTTCATTTAACGATGCCATTCTGCTGAAACTGTGGTAGGTACTTAATAATATTTGACATTAATTATCAAGTTATTAGCATTGATAGATGTATAAAATGAGAGTATTTGAAGCCTGGAAATTACAAAGTTTTCGTTTAACATTTCAATTCTTCAATTTATGTACATTGTATATTACAATTATTGCTTAAATCTGAAGGATGAATTGAAATATGCAATAATATACAGGGGGATGCATTTAAAAAAATAAATATGTCACAACTTTATGACCGACCCTGTATCCTTAAATTTACTGCTAGCTACTAGACATTTAAAAACCCTGTAACTTTTTTACTTAACTTTTTGCGGTACCTTGTATATTTTATCTAGTAATCGACCGTTCCCATACATATCAGCTAGCCTGTATGTTGATAAAAAAATGATAATATACAAAAACAATCTTGTTCTTTAAAGACATTCCTAGATTAATACATTTTGCAGATAAATACACGTGTTGTCTACATTTTTAATATGTATTTACAATTATTTTTCATATTTTATTAATACGCCAGAAATACTTTAATTAATTTGTGGGATTTTAATTCTAAATTCTATTTTTAATGAAATGAAAACAAAATTATTGAGTTTAAATTAGCCAGAAAACAACTTATTTTTAAAAGCCATCTTAAGAAGATATGTCAATATAATTAAATATATAAAAACAGTATGATTTTTTTAAGACATACACTAGATTAATAGGTACATTTTGTAGATAAAATATACCTACCTGTTATCTAGATTTTTAAAATGTATTTAAAATTATGTTTCATGTTTTATTAATAAGCGAGAAATAATTTAATTAATCTATAAGATTTAATTTTTTAGTTCTAAATTATTAATCCACAAATAAATATTGATATATTATTAGACTAAAGTTTTTTCAAGAAATATAACAGAAAAATAAAATCAAATGAAGTATTCTGGATCATTTGTGTGTTTATATTATCTCTTACATAATGGATGACAAAAATAATAGCAAATCCCAGCATTTTAAAAGATAATATTCCTATCTTCTCTAAATTTACTCCTACATCGTAATGATCATTAGTTATATAGAAAATAACAGAAATTATCTCAATAATTATTTGACATTCAAACTTTTTTCCAATGCAAGGAAATCAGTCTAAAAACTTTTTAAATAACCTTCACAAACTATAAGTAAAACACTTTAACCTTAGTAATTATTTTGTTTATAGATTATTTTTTGGAAAAATGGCTTTAATAAAATAAGATCTTTACCTGTAAAGCCCATTTCAGTTATAGGGGTATCAATAACTCTTTTGTCTCCGTATTTCTTCCACAGTCCTCTTGTAACTTTGTAAGCCCCATCGTACTGAGCTACTTCTTCACCCATAACAAAAACTCTTTCGTCCCTTTCCATTTCTTCATCGATAGCTGAGTTCAGGGCATCTCTAGAAGATAATTGATTCTTTTAGCATCCACAATGAATAAATTACTGTTAATTGTGTTAAAATATCTACCTTACTGTAAGCTGTTTGGCTCCCAAAGCCTTTGAAGTGGAGAAGTTTCTTCTGCTCAGTACTTTACCTAATGTGGTCATGTTCTTCATGGTTATTGTGCCCCTCGAAGCCATACTATATGGGGTTTTGAAAGACTAGGAAAGTTGTACCTTATCTTGGCTGTTCCAGGCTACTGTAGCTTACTTTTTCAAGGTGACTGAGGTCGAAGGCGTGTTAGAAGTGCTGTTTATCGGTAGAAAGGCTTCAGAACCGCAGCAAGTCGAATACGTAACCGGGCATGTGACGTTATCTCAAACTTCATGCGTCAATCGAGAATTTCCTCGTCTTCTATGTTTCAATTTCAAAATTTATGAATAAAGTTAGGTTAAGTAAGACTTATTGGTGAAAATTCGTGTCCTGATTTAGTTCTTTAACATTACATTATTACTATGTACGACATACTTTGCAGTAGCGGCCAATTTCTAAATTTTTAATTAAAGAAAAACTAAAAAATATATTCTAAATTTAAATTTCCAACACCCTGTATATGACAACCGCAGTCGCCCTCTGGTGGAATTTGCTTGAACTACGCTTAGTTCACAATTTTTCCAATAGGTAGAGCCACAGGAACATGTAGTTCGGCACTTGCTCAAGAGATGGCGCCGAGCATTCCCTAGTTCAAGAAAATATCGAGAGATGTCGCTACACTGAACTTATAACTTAGCTATTTTGTAACAGAGGGCGCCACTAATCCCATATTAATTTTGCTAGAACGTAATAGATGGCGCCACTAGTAATATTGAACACCGCCATCTATTGAAAAATTTATGTATTAATTAGCAATTAAAAAACCTGTAGCGACATCTGTTGGTGAAAATAGCAACTTTTTTCTTCTATGTTTTATAAATATCACAGAGGAAAAAAAATAAACACCATGAAGTTTTATCAAGATATTGTTTATTTATTTGACAAGAGATTCAAGAGTTTTTTATAATCCATGTTTATTTTGGTTTGCAAAAAAAACCTATCAACTAAATTTGTTTATATGGATTGTCAAGATTTTCATTTGTTTTTTACGTCGGTGTTGCCAAGACATTATTCAAGTCATGAAAACTAATCTAGTTCAATATATTTGTAAGTATATAACGAATAAAACCGTTATAAAATCATGGTAAATCTAATAAAATATAATATAAACATTGTTTCAATGCAATAAAATTTATAATAATTTTTTAGCATTATCCTTGCATTATATACAGCAAAAAATGATCAATCTGACAACGTTGACAGTGCGCCATTTTCCGTTGTTAGCAGCTTGAAGTTATGTCGTTCTTAAAAATTTTCTGATTTTTGATAGAAAAAATGATTTTTCTGTAGAGGATTTGAGTGCATTCTGTTCCTTACGGCCTGTTTCACCACGTGAAAATGTAAGTACCAATTATTTTGCCTGTTTTCTGTAGTTTTTTTTAGGTACTTCAATTACATCATACAAAAGCTGACAAATTTTTCCTATTTTCATAATTTTCTTTTTCAAAATCGAGTGCATGGATATATAAATACATTCCTTGATGTCTCTATTGTACATTAAAAATAAAGTTACTTAGAAAAATGGTCCATATTTAGAAATATTTGGTATTTTTTGGACCATGTTTTTTTTGGTAGTGTTTAAAGATGTTTTTATTCCTAAAGTTTTTTTTTTAGTTGTTTATTCGTACAGACAAATGATTTTCTACGTCTTTCAGAATAAGTCAGTGTTAGTATACCTAAAGGAGGTCCCATTCTCAATTATTATATAATACTTTTAGATAAAATTCTTTTACGCACTATATATTTAATGCCATACTTTGTCGTCATATTTAAGTTAATAGTTTTGCATTGTTAATATACAGCTTTATTAATTATAATTTTATTTTTAGGAGCTTTATTAATAATACACACGAGCACATAAAGACCACCTAAAAGAACAGACCTGGGTCACCTTTTGTATTTTCCTGATGTTTGGCCAACATCCTGGTTTACGAGTTGGTCTTCCATAATCTGATTAAAAGTAAGTTTAATTTATTTTTTCAAAATAATTTTAATAAACTTATTAAATTTTTATTAACAGACTAACCATATTTTTTATGATATGTTTAATCTTATATGAAACAAAAAAAAATAAACACAATTATTATAGCATAATTATTAATGAAATATAATATTATTTATTTCTTTTTTTACAGATTTTGTACAACAAATCGATGGACGTATACAGCTCCAAGGCAGTACATTTATCCTTTTCACGAATATTACCAACAATGCATCGGAACTAATAAGTATGTCTAAAATATGTCTTTTAGGTAAATATACTTATACTGGCTTTTAATGTTCTTCAGTGGATTTCATGATTTCCTAAATTTAATTAAGTAGAAAAAAATTCTATTGAGTGTCCGAGTTAAATTTTCTTTCTTTATTATCATAGAAAAATTCAGATCATCTATTTTTAGTTTGGTCAATTTTTGGCTTTTTTTCATTTTTTTTTTCTTTTTAATATAATAGCATCGACTTTGAACTTTACTTGATGTCGTACATCAAGATGGTTTTTTTTTATTTTTGTGATTGTTGTTTTTTTGATTTCACTCCATTTGTCTATAATAGCTGCTGGCCTATATTTTTTTGATTGTAGAATTTTTTCTATAATAGCTTGACTCCTATAAGTTTTCTTCATTGTGGGTATAATAACATATATTGTACAATTTTTTAATTTTTATGGATTCATTTTCATGTCATTTTTCTCAGACCATATGCCACGAATTTCTGTAATTTTATCAATTCTGTTGGTTTGGTTTCCCTATGTTAAATATAATTTAAACATACTTAAAAATCTGAGGATTAATTTCCGACCAATCAATTCCTAGCGCATTCGCCATTTATTTAAAAACCTGACTAGTCCACAGGATATCTCTTCTACAAATTTCTTGTACTAAATTTCAGTTTTGATGGATTTATTTCCGTGCCATTTTTTCAGATCATATGCCATGAATTTCTGTCATTTTACTTATTCTATTGCTTTAGTTTGTGTGTGTCATTTTTTTTTCAACTTATATCTCACTATTTGTCTCCCATAATTTCTTCATTATGGGATTGCCAAGTTTTTTTTATATATATTTGTATAAATTTTTGTGTCATTCTTCTGATACTCTTCTAAGGCATCATATTATTTCGTCACTTCTTTGACCTGTATAGAATTATAGTTTTTTCTATTCATTTTCATTCCAGTTTTTTCAGTACATCATATCTCTATTTCATTGTTTGTCTCCCATATTTTCTTCAAATCGATGGATGTCTACAGTTTCAGGGCAGTACATTTATCCTTTTCACAAATGTTACCAACAATGTATATGGATTTATAAGTATATCTAAAATTTTAAATCTTTTGAGTAAATATATTTAAACTGGTTTTTAATGTTCTTCAGTGGATTTCATGATTTCTAAATTTAATTAAGTAGGAAAAAAATTCCAACGAGTCTCTGAGTTACATTTTTATGGCTCTTTATTGTCATAGGAAAATTCAGATCATCTGTTTTTAATTTGGACCAATTTTTGGCTTTTGGTCACTCCTTATTCCTTTTGGGAGAAGATCATCTACTTAGAACTTCATTTCATGTTGTTTTTGGTTTACTTTCCTTTCTCTATAATAGCTTGATTTTTCATTGATTCTAAAAAATATTTCATTGATTGTATATTTCGATAAGTCTTCTTTTACTTGTATTATTTTTCTGATGGTGTTATTTAATACTTTTTGCTTCTGTAATTCCTTGTACAGAATTTCAGTTTTGATGGATTTATTTCCATGTCATTTTTTCAGATTATATCCCTTGAATTTCTGTCATTATACTTATTCTGTTGCGTTAGTTTGTGTTTGTTTAAATATAATTTAAATACACTAAAAATTTGAGGACTAATTTCCGTCCAATTGTTGGCGCATTCGCCATTTATTTACAAACCTGACTAGTCCACAGGATATCACTTCTACCTTTCCCAGCATTTTTCCAATTAATTTTCCCGAGTAACATCGACTCCAGAGCATCATAACTAGCCTCCCCAAAGAGGAGGAGACCCGGGTCACCCCCTAACCCGGTTGTTCGGGCATCGATGACCCATGTAGCATGCATAGGTACCCAAGGGAGTCACCACCCTCTGGTTTACGAGCTAGGTGTTCTAACGCTAGAGGCTTCGGCCGGATACGACCTGGCACCCAAGCTCCGAGACTTCTTCGTGCACGTATTCCGTGACCCTCGAAGAGGCAGGGGGCGGGATATCGGACACATTGAAGATGATGAGGGGGGTCCGCCTGTAGGGGGTCCCGGTGGATGTCCGCTCGAAGGGTGACGAGTGTGACCCGAGACGAAGCTGCTTAGCTGGGATGGGAACTGACTGGTGAGGCTTAATCGTCGGCCAAGGGTTAAATCTGATGAAGGCGGGCGAACTTATATGCTCTGGAGGATTTTTTTCTTTATGTGCTTCAGTCATATTTTGACTAGATATTCGTTAGAGGTGGCTAAGGATATCTTTTTGTCAATTTTTCTGTTCTTATGGACCACATATACTTCTTCATATTTTTTTAATATCACCTAATACATCTTGCTTTAGGCCTACCTCTCTTTATTTTTGTCTGCCATACTTCTTTTATTATTTGGATATAATTCATTTATTCTATATATACCTTTCCAATGAGTGTCTTAAATATTTGTATATTTTTTTGTGTTTTTATTCATTTTCATGCCATTTTTTTCCTAATTTATATCCCATTTTTATGCCATTTTTTTTCAACTTATATCTCACTATTTGTCTCCCATAATTTCTTCATTATGGGATTGCCAAGTTTTTTTTATATATATTTGTATAAATTTTTGTGTCATTCTTCTGATACTCTTCTAAGGCATCATATTATTTCGTCACTTCTTTGACCTGTATAGAATTATAGTTTTTTCTATTCATTTTCATGCCAGTTTTTTCAGTACATCATATCTCTATTTCATTGTTTGTCTCCCATATTTTCTACCTTATAGGAATGTCATACATCAATTCTATAAACTTTTCCATTGATTGTATTTCTAAGCCTTCCTTTGTATAATTTTTGTGTTATTTTTCTGAGACTTTTCTAAGTTCATTTCTCATTTTTATGCAGTTTTAGTTATCTGATGTATTTTTCTTTCTATTGTCTTCATTCTGGAGGGGTGCAAAGCTAGTTCGCCTCCTCGTGGTGCACCCTGGATAACGCTAAATGAACTAGCAAATACTGGCAGTCATAATCTTAGGATTTCCTGACAATAAGACACATTTCACACAGTTTCAATTTTCTTTAAGAGATATGATGCTATCAATCAAGGCTAACAATCTTTCCCTTTATTATTTTTCTTCTATATTGATTGTATT